GGCTTCAAATTGCATTTCTTCTGTGGAACTGTGCACTCAATTTTGGTTTGGATTATCGCTGATGTGCAATAAAACGAAATGTGCTAAAAAGTTTTTAACTGGACAAAACTCGTTGCAATAGAGTTTAGCTTGATATACTTTTTCTGCATCGTTTTTTTATTTTTGGTAACAACAAAGAAAGTAAGTTTGAGTAGGGTAATTGCCGAATGCCCTTACTAAAATATTCAAGACAAAGGTTGTGATAGTTGGTACATTATAAACAATACTATTAGGTACATTGTAAGTCGTTGCTACATTATAGCCCACAGAAATATTCACATTTTAAGACAACTATTATTGCATTGCACTGCTAGAGGTACTGTGTATAGTTTCATGTAAATGTGGAAATTTATTTGAATAAGATCAGCTTTAAATGCCTTTGTTGAATGATTCATGTCAAGATCATTGGTACATTATAAAGTAAGTATATTATGTTATCCCACAGAAGAATTCACTTTTAAAGATGCGGTATATATAATAATTCGTTCTTAATGTAGCGATTCAATTGAAATTCGAAAAGCGTAACTTCAAATTGCTAATTTGCGTAGAGTAAGTACAAAATGCATATACTAAATGATGCATAGGGATAACAATTAAGAGAAAATCGTCTTATGTTAGAGTAGCAGAAATATTTGCTTTATATTGCGGACAAATTGAATTGCTTCTTGTTGGTAACATGATATGGTTGTTGGTATATTCTGAAATAGAACGAAACAGTGGGTGAATTTTTGTACCATAATTAAACTAACTTGTAACTAAACTAATATTTTAAATTCGCATTCAAATTATTTTTAATAGGATTTTTCATATTGTAAGTGCTTAAACAGATTACTTCAGGTTATACACTAGACCCGGCCAGAATAGGAGGTAACACGTTATTTATTTTGGCTGTGCTTAACTCTCACTCACCTTAAATGAAGTTGTTTGTGTAGCAAATACTTTTATTAGCGTATAAAGCAATTTCCAACAGATTTGGCAACATAAATTACCAACTTTTAGCGTTGAGCGTTACCCAGTCTTTGGCGCCACACCCAGCTAAACTACCCCTGGCACTCCCTCGGCCAGAGAGGCACTGTTGAGTCGTGACCTTTTTGGCAACATTAAAAGTGATAATTTCTATTCACACAGAGCCACTTGCAAGGGCTTTTATTATTTAATTTTCAAGCTTGTGCTAATAAATTAAGCACAGCATGTGGCAGCTTGCCGCCCACTCACAGCATGCCACGCCCATTACGAGCGTGCTCCAGCTTCTTCTCCGGCTGCTCTGCAATAATAGCGAAATACAACACATGCAAAAACTACAAAAATAAAATGCGAAACTTTTGTGAAATCAAAACCCTTCCCCAGTACCCAGCTCGCTGTAGACATTTAAAGGGATTATGTGCCAAGTTCTTTGGCCCAATGCCTGCTGCATGCTTCTTTGACATTTCTCCATGTATGTGTGTGTGCGTACTTTCCTTATTGGATTTATCCCAGCTGCAAATCGCAACTAATAAAAATCACGCAAATCTTAAGCTAAAAAGAAAATGGTTAGAAAGCGGCTAACGACGTTGGCAGCAATTTAGCCAAAATGTTTTTATTCAATTACGCATGTGAATTATGCAAGCTTTACATAGACCATACTTTCAGACTGCCAGCTGTACTCATTCCTCTTGCCACGGCTCAGTTTGGCAATGGCAAACATTTAGAATAGTCTAAGCCACGCCCGCCTTCAATATATATATGTAAATTATATTGTTTCCAGTCCTGTGGTGACTGAAAGTTAGGTTGAGAGGCGACTGTGCCTCTTATTGCTGGCCTCGGGCTCAGACAATGAAATAAGCCATTTAACGAGCAAATGACGGAGTGAATATTTATTTAAGCGGTTTACTGGAAGAACGCTTTTTAACCCTGCTTTTAATTGTTCTTTTTTGAATAATCGAAACAGTTAATTTTATTGGTTTTTCTTATTATATTCACTATTTTTAGTTTTACTTATATGACACCAATTTTTAGCATGTCCTATCAGTACGAGTTAAAACACGAGACTGGTCTATATTTTTACAAATCATAGCCTCACCGGCGTAAGTAGAGTTGCTCTTGCCAGGGCTGTTCCTTAACTTGTCTAGCACCCGATAATAAGTGTTGAATAATACCTTATATTAAGTGTTATAAGCTAACTAAGTGTTATAAGTTAACTTGTATATATACTTTTTTTGTTTTTCCAAATTAAGCAGTTAAGCCGTGCACCATGCACGCTATAAAACAATCTTAGTATGCAATAATAGTGGCATTAGAGATACCCTGCAAACAATAACAACGTATTTTCATATACTTTTAGCTAAACATTCTAAAGCAATTATAAATTAATAACTGAAGTCGACTTCAATGCCTGCTTTGCATAGCAAATTTTCGTATTGAAACTTTAAAAGTTTCTGAGTTGCTTGCGGAGTAGAGTTTGCTTGAGAAGATTCTTTGGTGTCCTTATCAATACAATTAAAGAGCTGCCCTATCAGTTTTTCTTTGTACCAGTGCTTACTACAAGTATATACAACACTTTCCGCACCGATTTTATTGATTACAGGGTATTTTTAAGCAAGCCGTCTGGCATGTATTCACTTATGCTTTGGCGAATTTGCATAATAAATCTATTTTCAATGGTTTCTCTTTTTCTGGTATGTGTATATCGTGTGTGCTATATATGTATGTGTGAGTGTGTGCCCGTCTGTGCAGCTTTTATCTATCGTTCCCTGCCTTTACGTATCAATGGAAGCATTATAAGACTTGGAGTTCTTTTATGTAGTTGCCAGACCATCAGCATATTTGGTTAACAGCTGCATGCGAGTATGTGTATGTGTGTGTGAAGCCATATTTGTTATATAGTAGCACACACATACACATTCATCGCATGCCATTGATCCAGCGCCTTAACTGCTTCTTAAAGTCCTCGTTATAGCCATTTATTTACGCAACCATTTCCAAACTTTGTATTTTTGCGTTGAAAGCAAAATTCTGGACGTCTCTTAAAGCAGTTTTCCCTTAGTGCTTTAAAGGGTATTCCAATAAATTTATAAAAAAAATAATGTCTGGATATTTTTTACATTTTTATAACTTTATTAGTACTCAAATCGTTTTGGTTTCCATCTGAAATGTTCATTTATTTTTATCAAAAACCGTTTGAACAGTTTTTTAACAGTTTTCTTATTTGTTTTAAATTTGTTCTATTTATATTGATGAGACTTTAGTGAACTTTTTCGCAATTTTTCACTCGTACACATTTCTAATGCAATAAATTTGAATTAATTTATGTATTAAATATATCGTTTTGTTTTTTTATTCTGTTCAATTATGCAGCACACTATAAATATGTATATATAATTTGGTATTTATTATTTGGTATTTCTGTTTGGATTGCTATATATATAGGTATATATATATATATGCTAGTTTTACATCATTACAATTAACTATATTTACTATATACGCATACACATAAGCTATGGAGCTATAGAGTTTTACATATTCATTTCATTTACTATATAATTTGTTTTTACTGCCTCTAAATATGTTTGTTTTTCTGTTTTTTTTTTGTGCATTTCTTGTGCTGTTTGTTTTTATATAATTTACAATTATTTTCCGCACACACGCAAATTTAATTGTTGTAATTTTCGCGCTGTTTCGTTTTAATGAGCTGCTCTATAGCGCATTTTCGCAACTCAATTTCATTTTTAATTACATTTTCGACCTTTTCACTATTACTTAAAATTAAAAACTGAACATTTTATATTGTTTATATTTTATACGCGTTATACACTCACTGTCTAATTGAATTTTTAACTATTTGCAGTGTGTTTCTCTTTTTTCTTTTAGTTTTTAATTTGTATTGCTATACCCTGTACTCGCCAGCCAATGTTGATGCAGTCAGCAAGAATGAGAGCTTAAGACTTGAAACTTGTCTACCAGTTTAAATGTACATTTAGTCGATATGAATATTTAAATCCTGGAGTACTTATCATGTGAAACAGAAATCCAATTTATATTTTTGTGAGATTCGAGTACAGGGCATCTGCTATTCGAGCGCTTTCTTACCTCTTAACTGTGGAATTTCGTTTTGTTTTTGTTTTTTTTTTTTTTTTTTTTAATGTTAATAGCTTTATAAATATTTATGTTGTTTAGTTAGTCACATAACAAAGTAGCTGCAGGCTTACAATTAACAATATCCATTTTTTCTCCTCCTTGTCAAACAGTTCTGATTTCATTGAAAGCTTAAAGTTGTTGCAATTGGAATTGGGCTACAAAAATTGTATAGGCGGTTTTTATTTTAAATCCAACTAATTACAAAAAAAAAGAAATAAAAACGAACAGCAATTCTTATATACGAAACCGCAAAACTAATAAAATTTAATGTTGTTTTTTTTTCTCTTTTTGGATTTTGTGTTGTTCATATATTTTTATGCTATTCGAATTTGATTTGTTGTTGGATTAGTTGTTGTTGTTGTACAGCTTAAAAGCTAGGCGTTTATATTATATACACACATACGCAATATGAATTCAGTCTTTGGAAGAATAACATTTATATTGGTTTTATACATACATATATATTTTGAAATATAAAACTTTTTAATATTTTGCGAATTATTTCTGCTTTTTCTGTGTATTAAAAAGAAAACGTAAGTTTTAGTTACATAGTTTTGCCGAACTGTGATTTGGTCCTAGGTGGAACTTTATTTAAATAAAATAAAAAACATTAAGAAAATTCAAACAATAAAATTGTTTAGCTGGATGCTTTGTAAATGACAACAAGTAAACTTAACTTCACTTTTCTTATATATTTATATACAATAAAATTCATATCGAAATGAACTATTTAACATATGCAGCATAACACTCACAGCAGACAGCTAAAGTAAAACAAACTTTGTTAGCGATTGCAACACTAACACAGCAGACACACACAAACACACACACACATACACATCACACACAGACATACACACTCAGCTTGAAATAGTTGTTTGGACTGTGCGCTTAGAGGATCTTTGCTTAAAGATCACATTTGAAACGCACCGTCAATTAATGTCACACACGCAGCTCATCCATCAGCGGATGTTGCTGCTGTTGCTGCTGCTGCTGTTGCGACTGTTGCTGTTGTGCGTGCTGCTGCGTTGTGGTTGCCACAATTACGGGCACTGTGGGTGGTTGGGGCACAGGTATTAGCCCGCCAGCAGTGGTCAGCACGGTGGTCATGCTTTGATTATGATGATTCTGCATATGTTGCTGATGCGTTACTACGTGTTGCTGCTGTGCGGGCGAGTGTTGCTGCTGCTGTTGTTGATGCTGCTGCTGCTGTTGCTGTGCGGCCTGCGTTTGTTTCATGCAGCTTTTTTTGGTCAGAGTACCGCACTGATTGCCCAGCACTTGCAGCGCATGTGGCGGCGGCAACATGCCTCCGCCGCCGCCTACTTGGCCTGCATCCTGCAGCGAGGACTTCATGTGTTTCGGAGGCGGCGGTGCACGATGCGGTATGTCTGCAAATTCCGGTGGCGGCAGCTGATGATGCTGCATGGCATGATGATGCGATAATATGGTAGCCGGATCGCTCTTTGCGTGGATAGTCAGGGTCTCCAGATCGCCGCAGATGTTGTTAGGTATTTGGCCATTCTCCTGGCGCTTCAGTTTCGTTTGGTTGCGCGGCTCACTTAGCCGCGTCTTATCCCGCTGATAGTAGACGCCCGCGAAGATCAGCACATTGAGAATCAGCAGAGAGCAGCCAATTGCAATGGTCACGCTCAGCGCCGTTGAATAAGCCGCAAAGCCGTCGCTATCCTGCGAAGCACTGGCCGCCCCACCAGCCGCATGCTCCGCATCCAGAATATCATCTGGATAGATCTTGCCGCCGCCATAGCGAGTACCATTACGCTGCAGCGAGGACGAAGGTGAACTGAGATTCAGCAGTGAGAAGACCTGGTTCGTGAATATCGTATAGTTGCCCATGGCTGCGGCATTTGCTCCTCTGGATGTATAAGAGGGATTGAGGGGCTTAACCGAGGCATCGTTGGCAATGTTGTTGTCCAGCTCGTCGTCATCGTCGTGCAGCTGATGATGAGCAGCGGGCACGTTGTCCCCGCCCGGCTTGTGCAGATCCGGTATAAGGTTCAGCCAGAAAGACAGGCGATGAGCGCGATAATGATTCTTTAGTTTTGGCTTGGTGTCTGTGGGAGACGAAAAACGGACGTAGGTCGATTGGTCAAACTTATGTAAGTAAAGGTAGTTAGTGACTATTATGTTCTAGCAAATATTATTTTGTTCTTTAAATATTTACAGAACTTTTAAGAACTCTAAACAAAATCTTGTAATTTCTGTAACAGATAATAAAATAGCCCAGCATTGCCCAAAATTCTTTATTAATTTTCACATTTAGAGGGTCAATAGTGCACTTTCAAAGCCCAATAACGTTGTGGTTATTATTTCGCTTTTGCAACACTTACCAAAATTCAAATATTTTTTGTGCACACTCTCGTAGGCCGTCCATTCGATGGTTTTGTAGCGACTGCGTTCCTGCCGGCTGCCATGTTCAGTCTCCATTTGCTCATTGGGATTGCTGTGATGTTTTATGAACGTAAATTGTCGATTGGTTAACAGCAGAACACACACGCGTACACACAGTTGCGGTCAATGGGACCGCACACCCAATCAATACTTACCCAGTGCGCACAAAGTTCGACCAGTAAAACATTACGATTTCCGATAGACTGATTTCGGTTTTAGTATAGTTGCGAGTGAAATGGTTCAAACCACCGACGAGCGGTGCACCAAAGATATAGGGCAAGTCCTCGCCATGAATGCAGCCCTGACGCTGTCAAATTGATGAATCAAAGATACAACATTGAGTTGAATGCATGTGGAGCTGGTTCCAGGTGAACTTTCAAACTCACCTGTGGATAGTCGCCGAAACGTGTCTGATAGTCGAACACATATAGATACGAATTGCGATGATCTGCCGAATGCAAGTCGACAGTTTGTGCCGCAGGAGCCACAACTTGAGCATCACTCAAGGCCTCCAAGGTCTCGTCTCTATGAAGAAAAGAGAAAAGAAGACGAGGGTCATACAATCTGTGAGTGACCGAGACGCAAGTGTTAAAATCAAATAGCAATTTTCCGGCTATTTGCGCTCAAGTGTGCAACTAACAAGCCACGTTGAGTTCCACTTTAGCAGCTCTCCACAAACTGTTTACCTGTCCAGGTGAAACTGTCTCTCTCTCTCTCTCTGCCACCCCTTTTGGCCTCTAAGCAACAGTAAGTGCACTCTTGGCTTGCTAAGCCTATTTGAGAAAATATTCTTTTTGCGTCTGATTTGCTGTCATTTTTCGTTCGCAAGTTTTTCGCATTTTCCTTTTGCATTTTCTTGTGTCGCTTTATGCATTTGAAATGCACTTGCGCAAAATTTGAATAAAACCATTTGCCACATTTGCATACGTATCTCACGCTACCAAGCAAAAAGTCCACCGTTCTGCATATTATTTTTATGTGACAGCATAAAACTATATTTAAAGTCCAAACATTTTTCTTTGTCAGAGCCAGGAATATTGTTGTTATGTTGTTGCGCCTCTTAAAATTCACTCGACCTTGTCCTCAAGTTGCATGAAAAAGAGCATTTTTTGTTTTCTTTAGTAACCACTTCGATGGCCAAATGCTGCCTGAAATGCCACAAAATTGAGTTGTGGATTGTGAATGACTTTCATAAATTTAAGGCAGGTGCTATGTTTAACATATTAATTTATGATCGACAGCTGGCCCAATAACAGTTATACTTCTAAAAGACCTATATATATATATATATATATATATATATATATATATTGGCTATATGTGCAACTGAACCTTCATTTAAATAAAACAAAAAACAGAATTGTGTAAAATATATATAAAACCACAAGAGCCTTGAATTCCCATTTTCAAAGGGTTCAATGTATAATAATCTTTTTAGCTCAACAGTTTTTTAGTCCAACCATATTTTGGAATTTCAGTTTTAAGTTAGTTTTTTGAAAAGCTCTCACCAAATTCGTAAACATGTATTGCGTGTAAAATATTTAAATCAAAGCAAAATTTAATTGTCAATAATAAACGATTCATAAAAAAAGATACAAATAACTAAAAAATTCAGATTGCGTATTTAATTTTTTGTGTTTAATTAAAAAATTCATTTCATTTCGAGTTCCGAAATATTTTCCAGCAACAAAACGTATTTGTTGTTCTTTAAAAAAATAGATGCTGCATTAAAAATTCTATGTCCTAATCTGGACACGCGCTGCGCATATTGAATAGCCTAGACAAGTCTCTGTATAAATATTTATGTTGATTGTATTTATCGTTGACTTTCTATCAAATCCATTTGAAATATGCGCACGACTCTCTTTGATATGAACCCGCGCCCTGCCTTCCCAGACTGCCACGCCCACTCTCATCCTAGTAGAGATCAAGCGTGAAATGTTTGCTGCTTCATTGCAGGCAACTTAACGCACGTTTGCACAAAAGCTGAACAGAACTTTTGCATAACTGGGGCGAAAAGAATACATATTAAGTATACGTCGTGGGCGCCGTTGCGTATACACAATGTTATTCATTTTTATTGAATTTAGCAAAATTGTATGCTGATGAAATTATGCATTCAATAAAGAGACTTGTGATGCTATCAAAAATTCAGCAAACATCAAAAAATATAAATAGTATATGCAGATGCAATGCAAATATTGCAATCAATTGTTTTTCTTTATTGTTGTTGTGGCACTGCTGAAAATCAAAAGTAAATCAATTATGGTTGCAACATATGCCATCAAAAGGATGAGTAAAGAGGGTCTCTTCAAATTGAATCGAATATTGAATATTAAGCTTTGGCTATTATTTATGAAACAGAGGGCCACAGACATTTGCATTTCTCTTGACACAAGATACAAATCAAGATTCACTTAAGTCGCTTTAATTGAAAAATCCCTCCCCAAGCTGGCACCGAAGTTAAGAAACATAGCCGCATTTAATTAAGAACGAAATATTTGCTTGGGCATGGCGAACAATCACAGCCGCAGGTCGTGCCGCGGGAGAAGCAATGCGAAGATGAACATCAACATGGGTTTCACGTGGAACAAACGCAATTACTCACCGGATATTAATTGGATGCTGCACCGGCCTCTCCCAGTCTGTGTATTCATTGACAATCGTGGCGAATATCTCGTTCAAATGGAATGTGTACGTGTTCCGAACGTAGGCCTTTAAAATACGGGAGCGTCGATCCGCCTCGATGCCATATTGCACGTCGCCGGAATTGAAGCTGAAAAAGGATTCGGCACGTGTCACGCCAGCCATCAGGTCGTATCTGTAAATGAGCAATAAGTGCGTAAGTACGTGTATCTGCATCTTATGGATACAACATTCTCTTCACTTTGCGTATCTTTTTGCTCCCAAACTAAAGGCATTTAACTTGGGTGCTATGCGCCCTAACCAGATCTTTAAACAATCATTTGCAGCAGAGTTTGCGACTTATCTTTGATATTTGTTTAATGTTGTCACTGATTTCTATTTCTATTTATGTAAGTAAAGCTCTATAAGCTTAGCATGACTATGGGCATAAATAACTAAACTTTATCTACTTTTAGTTATAGTTCTAATTAAACAATCTAATCTTAAGAGAAAACGAAAAAGAAGCCTTACAGTTATCAAAAATTCTACTTCTTTGAAATCTCTGGACATGCCAGATTAATAAGACTAGTGATACATAATTTAAGAACCACAAAATTTTCAAGTAATCTTCTTCCATTTTTTTTAAACAATATTAAACTATATTAAGTTTATTAAATTATTTAATATACGTATCTTTCCTATATAGTTGGAAAACACATTCGTGAGCATCAGACTAAATTGTCTCACTGTCTTATTTTTACTAATTTTAATATAAAACTGATTAAGAAATGTTGTCCAAAAAGTTTGCCAAAGTAATTCATCAGTTAACTCTTAACTGTCCAACAGCCAAAATGTTGCGGCCTTCTTAAAGTTCAGCTGTGCTTCAGCCCCAAAAACTCTTGCGAAACATGATAACTCGAGTGCTAGTCAAAAATTTGCTAGTTTGCTTGCTGAACAACAAAAAGTATCTTTGAGTTACTTGCGCTGCACTTCACAGTTGCTGAGCTGCACTTAAAAATGTATCTTTGCTTATTTGCATAGATAAAGTAGTGTCTATGCTATGCCTGCTGCTTGTTGTTGTAGTTTTTGTGGGTCGCTTTATTTCCATTTGGTTTTTTGTTGCATTTATTTGGTATAGCTTGCATTTGATACTGTGCCAAAAATTTCTTTTATTTGCTCTTATTGCATGTGTTTAATGGAATTCCTTTGCAAAATATTGAGCAAACATTCCGAAGCGTGTATGTGTTTTGCTATGAATATGTGTGTGTGTGTCTTGGTCTCAAAGCAAATTGCTTTTAAATGTGCACAAAGCAAAATTTATGCTCCTTGTGGAGCTTGTGACTAATAGCCTCTTGGGCACTGACAGTTTACAAAGCGCTGAGCCCGGCCGAAAGAATGAAAAAGTTATCCACAAAGCGGTCAGCAGTTGCAGTTGCACTGGCAGTAATAATAGCTGCCAGGCGCATCAACTGCAAAACTGCAGCTCTAAGCAATTCTGAAGTGTTGCTATATGAGTTCATCTATATATTTATCTCCATACATATATACGTATCTGTGTGCAAGTATAATATGTTTTTAACTAGTTGCCTCTCACCATTCTCTGCTTAAGTCCTACCATCAATTCTCATCAAGAAGCTCCTTTTTTCTCCGTTTTATCTTCGCTTATAACCTCTAGGATAACGCTTTCCTTCTAACCTTGATTTGCAGGCATTTTATATTATTCCATATATATAAATTAATGCTTGATTCTCAAAGCTTAAAATGACAATATTCTATTTGGAGCTTGGTAATATTAGTTGACCCGACCCAAAAGCATTTTTGCGTAACTTAAATTCAACTCGTCTAATATATTATTTATAGTGTTATTTCGTATTATTTTTCTAACCCGTTTGCAATTGTTAATTTTGCATCAAAGTGGCGCAAATTGCACATTAATAATGAAATCGCAGCTAATTAGCTGTTAATAATATATATTAACAATGCCAAATGGCACGGCACAAAGTGCATAAATCAAGTGAGGGTGCCAAAAACAATAAGCCCCACCCACCAACTATACAGCAGCTCCTGCTTGCCAGCCTTCCCAATCCTTACAACATATTGTAATTGTATTGCAAAATGTAGTCGCGCATTTGCGTGGTTAATGTGCATAAATTAATAACGTAGCGTCTGAGTGTACTTGTGTATGTATGTGTATTATTGTATGGTCAAAATGGCAGCTGTGCGGTGTAAACTCAAAGCTTATCGTCGCCTAAGCTGACGCCATTTTGAGTGTTCGCTGCTGCGAGATAAAATCTTTGAGCAGCACGCAAAAGTCGGCAGAGTCGAAACTTTAAATTAATTACGTTGCATACTTTTAAGCTGTGTGTGTATGTGTGTAAGTGTGCGGGTTAAGGCAAAAATAATTAAGCACCGGGTGTTCAGGCTGAGCCTCAAAAAAACTTACCTTGACAACTTGTTAATGGCTGTTTTTCTCATTAATACTGCATTAATTAAAAACGCCAACAAACATGCGAGTGTGTGTGCGTGTGTGTGGGTTAATGGCGCCAGCAAACATGGCAGTTCACAAGTGCAAGTAGTCATCGTCGTCGTCGTCAGTTGACATCAGCAGCCGCATTGACATGTTGAGGAAGAAAGAAATTGACAGCAACGCATCGCATTTAAATATATTTGTAGCGAATATAGAGCAGACAAAAATTGTATTTTTTCAGCAAGCCGAAACGTTAATTCGCTTATAGAAATGCATATACAGATTCCTTTTATACCTATTATATAATTATTTATATGTATATCTTAGATTGTATATTTTTAAAGACCTAAAGGGTTTAGTTTGAAATGTTCAACAAAGTTTGCCAGCATGTAAAACAGAAAATATTATAATATTTTTTCTTCTTAATATATTTAAATAAATGAAAAATAATAAAGAAATTTATTTTTTGTAATATATATAAATATTTAATACATTTTTAGCAAATAGCTTTTTGTTAAAATTTTTTTTAATTTTGTTAAAAAATTAATTATTTAAATATAAATTAAATATATTTGTGTCTTATTTGTAACTAAACCGCATTATAACCCTGAATAAAATATATATCTTAATGCGACAAATGCAATCACATTTTCAATATACCCAATCAATAATAGAAATGGCTTTTGAAAACATTCTCACTCACCTATATTCTCCAGTTGTCCAGGTGTGCCCCAGCCGCCGGCTGCCGCAATGCCTGCTTCTCCGCCCAGACCGTTGCCAGCGGCCGTAGAGGCCTGGGCCTGTGCTTGGGCGGCCGGGGAGCCCGGCGGGGGCGGCACATAGTCGCCGCCATCGATGACGACGCCATCAATGCTGGGGCCAAAGGCGAAACCGAATTCTGGCGGGCGTATGGGCACGCTGAGAAGCTGCTCGAGCGTCTTTTCACGAAGGCACTTCATCAGATGGGCGTGAGGCAAGTCCGAGGCGCAGTTGACGTGATGCGCCACGATTGCCGCATACTTGGCGGGATTGCTGACCAGAGACCATGGCGCCAGCCCTGATCCGGACATGAGCATGGCCCGATTAAAGAGCAGACCTGTGTGACAAAAACGGAATGTGAAAGGAGGCATGTATCTGTAGAACTGCACTTACCCTCCGGCACCGCCATTGATGATATCAGAAAGTGGACACAGGCCGCACCAGTACCATGTCCTGCTAGGGTTATGCTATTCGGATCCCCGCCAAATGCCGCAATGTTCTCTTTTAGCCAATGCAGGGCCGCAATGATGTCCATTAAACCGTAATTTGCTGGAAGCTTCGAATAGCGATCCGTGTTGGCATTCAGAAATCCTGCAAAATTACCGCAGAATTCATCAGCATTTTCTTTTACATCGATTAGTCGCAGCAGCAGAGGATGAAAATTTAATAGAGCCTATCGACTATTTAAAATGTCAGACACATCGGCGCAACACTTGCGAAAACGTGTACAGTCACGCGTGCAAATCATGATGTCAGCACTTCCGTTTCCGTAGTAGCCGTACCAGTGGAAAACTGCCCGGGAGGGTGGTCACAATTCGGGCGGGTTGAATGAGGAGGTGTAGAGAGAGAGAGGAATGCTTGCAAATGAGGTCACACTAATGTGCTCTGTATTTGAACTTTTACAGTGGGCAGAGCGTATAAGAAAATTTCTAAAAAAAATGTTACTGAAATTTAGACTAATTTAAAACTATTTAAAGTAAAAACTAAAAAAAGTTATGATAATAATAATTTAAAATAAAAAATTATAAAATATAGAAACAAATGAAATATATGTATACAAACAGGGCCATATTCTGAACTATAAATTAAGAAATCATTAATTAAATAATAAATCATTAATAAAATAAAAATTTTCGTTGAGTTTGTTCCACTGTGCTGTATATAGTTTTTCCACTAGATGCTAACTAAATTAGTTAGATTATGGAATGAGCATTCGCCACGTTGATGCTGCTGTTGCAACAGTTGTTGTTGCTGCAGTTGCTGCTGCTGTTGAGCGGAAGTGCAGTTGCTGCTGCAGTAGCTTAAAAGCGATTCGACCAATGGACACGTTTCAAGCGTTTGGCTCATTTCGGTGGACCGATGAAGGCAGCATATCAATTAGCATTAGCATTAGCACTGGAGTGTGTACACGTGTGTATGTGTTTCTATGTGTGAGTATTAGTGTGCACTTACCGAGTACTCCGAGGCGATAATTTATGGTCACCACCAATATTTGTCCATAGCTGGCCAGCACCGAGCCGTCATAGGGATTGCCGCTGTTCCACTCGTACGATTCGCCATGGACAAATACTAGCACCGGATACTTGCTCGTACCACCAGTCGATGACGAAGATGAAGATGAAGATGAAGATGAAGATGATGATGATGACGAGGAGGAGGAGGAGCTGCCAGAATTGCCGCCAGTAGAGCTGCCACTGCTGGTTGTTGAGTCCCGAGAGCCAACTGCAAAATAATTATAATAAAAGAAAAATAATTGTAGAATGTGTTTTCAATTGCTGAAAATTCAGTTCAATTGTTTTCGGTTAGTGACAGAGGGAGAGAGAAAGAATGTATAAAATAAATGGAGCCAGACAGCTCTGTTCATAATGATGGCTGCGTTTTATAGCTTTTATCGAATTCAGAATGTTCAGCTTTGATTTTTGCCAAGTTTTCAAGTTCGATAATTTGCATTTAAATGCTCAATCTTCGGGTATTTGGCATCAATTCAAGCGTCCTGCCCCATGCCTATTAATCAGCATTGACATGAATATCTGGGGGAGATGCCTGTCAAGTGTCTGTAGAGCATAGGTAAACAAGGTCCCAGAATAGATTTTCGCAAGACAAATGAGCGTCTTAGCCCCAAATAGGCAAATTACTGGAAAACAACTCTGTTTGAGTGCTGAACCCAAAAAGTCAACGCAGCTCTCGTTCCCGTGGGCACGTGTCGGAGGTCAGCAAAAAAAAAAAGAAGAAAAATCTATGCTGGCAACCCTGTCAAGAGTGTGGAAAGGTTAAGTCGATGTGCGACGGGTATTTAGCTTGTGGGTAAAAGCTGAGACTGCTGTTCAAAATTCGACAGCTATCTGTGAAAAAGGCTTATATCGTCTGAGTACTTTTATAATTTTTTGCTTGAAAAGAATACATCAAGAATTCTTATTTCATAAAGGAAAGCATTACTCTCTGCCAAGATTATATATATATATAAATATATATAAATCATAAGTAAAAAAAAAAATTTTCTTCATAATTAACTAGCAATTATAAACGTAATTTATTTACTTTCTTATGCCCAACATTTAAAGTAAAATTTGTAAATAATATTAGTTTCGGATTAAGCTACAAGAATTCAATTTCTATTCACATACAGCTTATTCCAACACTCGTTCAACGCAGTATTTTAACGACCAATGAAGAAACTTAAAAATCTTACCTTTAATCTTAGCAAAATTATATTCGGTATACTTCCTGTGAAACTTCTTTTGTTATCCAGCTATTTTTAATAGCTCTTGCACTTTCTCGTAAATTAAATGCAACTAAAATTGCAACTGTATTCATAGCACATGCACAGAGAGAGTAAAGTATCTAGGGCAGTGTTGAATCTTTGGCAGATATGTATCCATATCGCATGTGTCTGGTCCAGTTAGCAGCAGCAGCTCGAGCCTCGCCCGAACAAAAGCCGCAACAACAAATACAACAAAAGGAATATGAACCATGAATTCTGGTTGTATTTTCTGCCCATTTTTTCGTATACATACATAGTATCTGGGCTGGAACAAAAGAACTTGCTTATCAAAGCGGAAAAAGAGTTCTCTGTGTGTGCTAGAAGTGGCAAGCCGAGCACCATACTCCGCTTAGAGGCTGGCAAAAACAAGTTACTGTGTCACTGACTTTTATAAATAGCGTCAAAGGCATGACACGAGCCAGAAACAATGAATCCGACAAGCCAAGTTTGCTTAGCTGTTTCTCTCTTGCGTTCTCTCTTTTTCTATCTGAGCAATGTCAATATCTATTTAAAGTCTGCTCATCGCACAAAGTCACATTTACACCTCGCAACACGCTAATTCGATGAGCTTTATTCATGAGCTACTGCGGCTTCTGCTTCTGCTTCTGCTTTTACTGTTCTTCATTGAAGCTGTCTGTTTTAGCTTGGTGTAAGGTTAACAACCATGTTCAATCCATGCACACGAGAAATCACTTCGATCTAGCCACACTTCAGTTTGCAAAATTCAACATGAAATTCAAACAAAAGTTCTCAGTATAAATTTCTTGGCTTCGCCTTTTACAAAAAAAAAAATAATATATACTAATTCGGATTTCAGGGTCTTCACTTAAAATTGAATATTAAATTTAAACATTCACCTAACATGCTCAACATTTCAGTATTATTGAGTTATTCAAGTTCTTTAATTTAGTATTGAAAAATTATAAGAGTACTAAATAAATAATAAATAAATAGCTAAAAATGTGTGCGTTAAACAACAGACTATACAGTTCTTCGAAATTACAACTTTGTGATAAATAAGAATTGTTGATTCTTCTAAGCTAAGTCTAAATAGTCTATACATATCTTCAAAAGATTTAATTTAATTCAAAACGATTTTATATTTTATATATAAAAGCTCGTTCATTTCATTCTGCACTAATTTACCGAGTGCGAAAGGATATAACAAGAGAATGTGCCTAGCAAAACAAACAATAATAAATTTAAGCTTTGTTGATTAGGCAACATTTTGTAAACATATATATTCAATCTTATTATTATTTTTGTTTTAAACTAATTTTTTCTAGTTTTCCTAATATTATTAAACACAAACAAATATACCATTTTCCAAAAGTACTTATTTATAAATAAAAATATAAATATCTGACTGTCACTGTGAATATTTATTTTTCAAAATTATTAATGTATATTTGATTTTCTTCGTATCAAATATCACTAAGAAATCCTCAAAAAGTACGTAAAAAATTTAATTAGATATTTCTTATTTTTTGCTTATAGTTTATATATATATATATTTTTTTTTTGGCATTCCAAGTAAGTAACTTGCTGCCTTTCCACAAATGAGGCGCGAAATTCGGGTAATTTGTGGGGTTAAGCAGCCGCGCGACATGCAAACAGCATTTAAAACTTGTCCTGTATGCCATTAAAAAAACAAGGAGTAGAAGGAGAACCGTAAGCAGAAGGAAATAAATAAACCTAGTTCTACAAATGCCCGGGTAGAAAGTTTTCTGATGGCCTTTCAGCATGGCGGGGAATGACAGCTATGGCGAAGTCTGTTCGTGTTGCACCCGCGGGTGCTGCTTAACCCGGCAAACTTTATGGCACCCACCGAAAAGTCAGCAGACGTACAAAAACTTGCGACCATTCCCCCATCTGCCGCGCAACAACGACAACTGTCTTTTATGTTGCCTAAAAACTTGTAAAATAGTTGCGCCACGCCCCGTTTGCCGCATAATTTTGAGCAAATGTAAATATTTTGTGCAAATAAATAGAAACAAGTTTATGTACGTGCTGCAAGCTGCATGTAGCAAGAAAAGAGCGAGGAGAACTTGTAGCATAACAAATGCGAAGACAAGCGCTGTAACTGGCAAAAACTAATGCGACTTTCGGGGCTTGTTAATAACTCGAACATGTTTTAATTCACATGCCACGCCCCCGACCTTAACAAGCCTAAGACACAACTTACCCTCCGACAGGCATCACTTGCCCCCAATCTCAGCTGTGAGTGTAAAAATGTAGACACGTGGCATGTGGCAAGAGGCAGGAGACATGTTTCAGCTGCCTCTAAGATTGCACGCTTTTTGCGGTTCGTGTCACTTGGGGAAAGTCGGGTTCTAGCAACAGTCAACAGTTTCCATGTTACGTCTCGCACTCGCATAAATTTAATCATATTTTGAGGCATCAAAATGTAGATGTACATGGCACAGCCAAGTGGGCCTAGCGGCACTTTTTTGTTGGGGGAGAATTGTGTGTGCAAGAAAATAATTCCGGGAAAACTTTAATAAATGTGTGTTAAAATGATACATGTTAAAGGAAAACGAAAAAAGAGCGATTTCATCCTGCTTATGAAATATGAAATTTACTTTTGCGAAATTGAATGTCAAAATATTCCAGATAAATTGTGGTTGACTTAGGGTAAAAGCAAATGGTTTCACATATGTCTTTCTTTTATTAAGCAAGCGAAATTAATAATAATAATCACAAAAAATGATTTATTGTTTAATTTTTTTTGTATTACTCTCAAAGTAAAAGGCAAATTTAAAACATAAGCAATTTTTTAAATTATAAAATTCAGCATTTAAATTTTAAATATATTAAACATTTTTGTAAAAAAATTTTTGACATTGAAATTGGATGGAAATATTTTGAAAATTAACAAAAAGTTCCCTTGGAAAATATCTTTTATTTTTGTGGAATTTTCATTAAGCTAAAACTCTCAATTGTTTACTTTACTATTTGCAATAGACACACCCATTTACTCACAAGCACAAGCAAATACCAAACAAGAGCTATGTAGCTGAATCAAAGGCTGCCTGACAGGCAGCTGCAATCCGAAACTAGGTGAAATCAATATCTTTCACTCATTGTCTTGCGTTGCTCCAACTTGTGCTTTGTCATCGCCGTCTGGGCGAGGTTCTTGAATTCCTGGGAAAAAACTCAAGCTCATTCAGCGAGATGTTGCCCCGGCTTTATAAAAATCTAGCTCGCTTCTTTTTATGGCAAGTCTCATTTTGTTGTACTACTCTCTTACTGTTACTACAGTAAACTGTGGCATTGGATGGATGACAATGGGAACTGAGTTAGAAAATGTCGAATGAAATACTTCAATTTAGAATGAACATTGTTCCACAATCAGAGTTGCCAAGTAAGTTATGTGAAGTTTTTTATCAAAGAACTATATGGTTTTATAATTTAAATAAATATGTTTTTTTTTTCTAATTATTTCTTACGATTTATTTTATTGAAGTTCTACTGTAGCAACCATTTCAAGTGGGAGCCATATTTTATATGGGCGCCACAGGTTGACTTTAACTGCTGATTCAACATATTTGTTGACTACAGAAAAAAAGGAAAGGAAAAGAACAAAATAAGAGCTTAAAATATTTTTTACTTTTATCGATTTAATAAATTGCGAGTTTTCAGCGCACGTCGCTTTTTTATGTCTTCGATTTTCGGTTCGACGCTTTTCCAGCTGACACAGTCACACCTACGGCAGCGAGTTTTTTTTATAGTATTCTTTGGTTTTTTCTTGCTGCGGGACTCGCCAATGCGCATTTGCAGTTTGGTTGTTTATTACCTGCGCTTATGTTTTTGCCATTTTAATGCGTTTCAATTTTCCCGATGCGTTTTTTCTCACTTTTAATGCAATGTGAAAAGTGGAGGGATTAACTTTTTTGACAGAAATCAATTCTTAAACAAAAAGTGGCGCAGGCTTTATTTAGCATGTTTGCGCTGATCTAGG